CATTACAATAGGAACACACTTTCCCCTCTTTCTTCTAATAGGAACTACAAGGTAGTAAAATAGGGAATAGTTTATACTCAAGTAGAATTTTCTACATTTTATAATTATGTTTGAAATGTTATGAAAGGCATATGAAAGCAGATCACAGCCAAAAATAAACCCAACTAGAATTTATTAACAGAACTGCTGTTATGAAAGTGAACAAGATCAAATTTAAATCCAATTTAAAAAATATATTGTTCTCGATTTAAGGATTAGGCAAGAACTTGTAAGTAAGAAATTTGTTTGAACATGCATTCTAAAAATATTTACTGGGCAAATGTAATTATTTGTTTTAAATAAGCTTTAAATTTGATTACTTGGCTTAAGTTTTATAGTTTCAGATAATTACCCATCAAATACCCTGAAAAAATATATTCACAGAACCCCTTTTAGGCATGAAAGTAAAACTGCATTCAACTGCAGTGATCGAGACATATAATGATGCAGCAGTATCATAAAATTGTTAAGAATAATTGCACTTGTCATGTGTGAAATGAAAAACTAAACAGATAAAAGAAATCTAAAAAGATACAAATGCTTCAAAATGCTTGCACATTGTTCATGCTATTTTCTTAGCAATTTTTAAACTGTTTCAACTCCTGAATAAAAAGGACAGTTTTCCAAAATTTTGAGTGCCGAACAACATACACAAATACAGGATTATAAGGAAGGAATCACTCAATTACAAAATTTCATATTTTCAATAATTACAAACAGAAAATTATAATACATATGTTATTGTAAAGTAAAAGTGTTAAATTCTTAGTCTGAAACATAGTCTTTAGGTAGCACTGCTGTCATTAAGCTGTTTTTGAAATTCTGAAAAGAAAGGGAAATGGTGTCTAAGCAGGAGAAGGCTTTTTGCGTGCTCTGCTTTGCAAGAAGCCAGTCAGTAATCGGTGTTCAGCACGAATTTAGGAGAAAGTACCATCCAAAAAAAGCACTGACATCTCAAAGTATCAGAAGATGGTACAACCACTTTCAGGAAACTTGATGCATCAAAAGTCTAGAGCAACCAGGTGTTTCAGCAAAAAATTTTAAAAGAGAGGAAAAGACTTTTTTTACACAGTCAAAAGAAATCAACGGTTCTTGTTAGTTGTGAACTTGGGAGAGTTCACTTGGGACGCTGTTTCGACTGTGTAGAGGAAAAAATTGCATTTTAAGCCTTACACATTGAAAAGCATGCAAGCAATGAAGCCTACTGACGAGTTGCAATGTCTAAACTACTGTCTTTTCATGGATGAAGTTATGCAAGATGATCATTTTTGCAATCAATTGGTACAGAGTAATGATGCCACCTTTCATTTAAGTGGTAAAGTAATTGGCATAATGTGCGAATTTGGTGATCGGAAAATCCGCATGCCTACAGGGAACACGTAAGGAACTTCCCAAAAGTTAATGCCTCCTGTGTAATATCTTTATCAAAAGTTTACAGACCCCTTTTTTTTTTTCAAGAAAAATCAGTGAGTGAACCTACCTTGATATGTTAAAATTTGGCTTTTCCCTCAAATGAAGAAAGATATGCAAAATTTCATTTTTCAACAAGACAGTGCACTGTCTATTGGCATTTGGAGCTTTGTAAATTTCTAAACAGAGAACAACCACATCAGTGGGCCAATGATTTGGTTCTACACAGCTACCCTCCTAGGACACCTGATTTAACCCTCTGGCTGATCTTCCCGCAATTTCCACGGGAAACTCAAATGTAACAAAATTTGCTTATCCCGCGGGCACGTTTTTCTTCCTTTATCAAGGAGCACATTCCGTTTAACCATTGAAATAAATTATATACAGTATTAGGCGTTTAGTTTACGTTTTGGATAAGAGATACTGTTAGTTGTCCACTAAATTGCGGCATTTGAAGGCACGTGGTAATAGCACTCAAACTTCACTTTTTGCCCTTTTTTCTTACAGAAATGGCTGCTAGAAAACGTTCAGCGATTATCTTAATTATTTAATTAAATTATTGATTTATTAATTAGATTTATTGAATCTGGTGCTAAAACTGTGAAGCTGGACTTTGCCTTGAACCCTGTTTTTGAACTCTACCATCCTAAACTGCATTTCTAAGGTATTTTATCCTCAGCGCTTAATATTTTTCTTAAATTTTATACATTTTACTTTTTTATATTATGCAATAAATAGAAATTAACTGTAATTATTTAAAATGAAATTAACTGAAATTTATTTTTAAAAAAAGATTTTTTTTGGTGATAACATCTGAAATTGGTTTTTCTGGCAACTTAGTTTCTCATGATAAAAATCTATATAAAAAACATTTTCTAGAAAGAAAAGGTGCATTTTTCAATTCTCCAACATATATAGATTTAAAATGGGGGGGGGAGGAACCGCAATTTTGGAAGCGATTTCAGTTCACAAATTGAGTAGTCAGAGGGTTAAGCCCATGTGACTTCTTCGTTTGGAGTTATGGCAAATATCTTGTGTTCATACCACTTTTTACACCTACCCTTTTTTGTACCACTTACAAGTTTGCCCAAACTTAAACAATGCATTTGTGATGCTTTGCAAACAGTTAATAGTGAAATATTACAATGTGCTTGTCAAGAAATGGTATATCACATTGATATTATATCGGTGACTAAAGGCAGTCGTATCAAATACTTATGAAAATGACATATTATTTATAATTTTCTGTTTGTAATTATGGAAAATATTACATTTTGCAATTGGATGATTCTTTCTTGATAATCCTGTATAATGAAAAAGGGTAAAAAATGTTTTTCAAAGTGCAGGAATCATCAGCTATTGAAGTCTGTGATGACTAAAAATTTTTTCAAATATACATAAAGTATGGCTCTAAAAGTAAAAACAAAGCAAATAAAATTTTATATACATATTTACTCAGCTCTAACATAGTCATGCATATAAGCAATAACCAAAAAAAAAAAAAAAAGTCCTAAGCTAAAGCAAGACAAAAAACACCGGTAAAAGAACAAAGCAAAGCAATAACAATGTTTAAAATATCACATAAAAATTATAATAGCAAAGCTAATAAAGATTATCACATTCTAATGAAAAATAAACTAATGGTAAAAATATGTAACAGTAAACAATAAATGTCATTAAAATTATAAGCAATGAAGTTATAAAATGTATTCCATTAAAAATGATTTACACCTAAAAATGGAAAATTAACACTAACAAGACAGAAAAGGGGACAGTGATACTTGTCAAGGAAATCTGATGCAAATTTAACTAATTAACTAGCAATATTTAGAGAGCAAGTATGAAAACAAAATGTTGAAACATCACAAACAAACACAAATAACAAAAAAACTAAAGGAACAGAATCATACATATTATCTAACTGAATTTTTAAAAACCACAGCTATCACAGCAACATCTTCAATACAACATGACACATTTTTAATCTGTGAAATGAATAAAACATAACTACTTGTGTAATTGTACAATGATAAAACAAAAAATAAGTCATAAAAATTATCAATATGCAAGTTTTAAAAACCCTCTTCTTGCTTATTACATTAAATTTATTATTTATTTTTCAGCTGTTCAATTTAATAGTTAAATAAAGGTGAATGCTAAAAGTTTGTAAAATAAATGATTCTACTATCTTAAGACTGAAAATCCTATGTATTACAGATAGATATGTTTATTTACAATAATTTTTGAAAAATGAAATTTTTTAAAGTTTACTAGTTTCACAACTTATCTTAACAACTAGTAGTGATTTAAAATAGCTTGACATATATTATGAGCCAAACAACATTCGAAAGAACAAAGCCATTTTAATATGCTTCTAAAATTAGAGATTTTTAAAAATATCTTCTTATTTTTCCATACATTATACATAGCCAAAAATAATATATAAGCTATATATTTTATATGGCCAAATCATGTAATAAAATTCAGAGTTCCAAGAGAAATATATAATGATTTAAAACAGGTTGCAAGAAGTGTGGAATTTCCAAGTTAATGTAAACTTGAAACACACATACTAGAGAAATCATATTGCTTAAATAAAATCACAGTTTCTTTATGAAATTAAAACAAAAAACCCATTTTAGAGAAATATATAATATTAAGCAACTACAACGAAACAACATTTAAATTAAAAAATCATTTACCCTATATGCACAATTCTGAAATCTCACTAAACCATGATTTAAGAAGGGGGCTAAAAGCCAAAAAAAAGTGTCATAATGCTCTTATTACATTTCTTATATAAAATATAGTAAGAAACATAAGGCATCATCACAATACAGTAGCTAAATATATAACAATGCATTTCATTTTCATATATAATGATCCACAATAATAAATCTTTGCTAAATTACTTTATTCTAAGCCTCGCTGTGAGCTACTGCTAGAAATACAGAACATTTGATTTTTAATAAATTTTTATCAGATAACATCAAACATAATTATACTGTCATCATTATCAGATAGCAAGATTTAAAACTTGTTAACATGTATTCTAGTACTAAATTAGTTTAATTTCTTTCCTTTTTTGCTACCACCGCATGATGCTGTGGGGGGGGGAGGAAAGATGAGAAAAGAAAAAAAAAAAGTAGATTATAGAGGACAACTGTTTAAAAATAAAATAGACACTCATTCTGTATTGGTTCAAAAACATATTAAAAATAAATTAGAAAGCATAAACTACTGCGGAAATTTTTAAAATTTGATTGCCAATTTTTAAAACCAAGAATACTTTCATATTTTAAATATGAATTATAACTGGAAATTTTATCTAAATATTTTGATTCAACACGTTTGTATCATAATACAGAATTCTGTAAGTAAAAACAGTGACTAGATACATGTATGCAGATTACAATGCTTACTTTCCTAAAATCAAATAATGCAATGGAATAGCAGGTGTTTGTTCCAGTAGTTTACATGATACATATCCCATAAATATGTTTTACATGGGAGTTGCAAATCTCCACATGTCATCAAGAACTGTACAAAACAAACAACACAGCTGCCATATCCTTTTTAAAAGGCACAGCAACTCTTTATTTTTTAACCAATTTAACAGATGATAAAAAGTGACCACTGATTGTACATGCTTTTTACAGAATGATAAAAGTGGCTAGTTTCTATAAAACATATACACTACTGAGGTTCTGAAGTAAAAAAAAAAAATCTGTATTTTGATGAGCAGGAAGCAAATCAGTTTAGTTTTAAATAAAATAAAACAAAATGAAATTTTAGCATTAAAGTTTAAACAGAGCACTGAATTTTGATTAAAAAATATGCCTAAAAAGCCTTACCTTTTAAACTCATCATAAGATTATGTATAATTAACATTAGCCATCATATAATTTACATAATTATGTGGCTCTTCTACTATACCTTATTTATAAGAATTATAACATACTTAGATTTATAATATATGAATCTCACAATAATTATTCCTAAATTGCACTTAAGCTATAATATAGGGGAAAAAAAAAAAAAAAAAAAAAACTGAGCAACTGTGAAAATGAAGAATCAATTAAAAAAAAGCTGTCTTAATACAGTTTGAGAACGAGAATCACATATACTCTTTATGTAGCCCAAAACAGATATAACAGTTAAAAAAATACTTTTTACAGCCTGTTAGTTGCAGGAATTGAAATGTCTGTAAGTAACTAAAAAACAAATTTTCTAAGAAAAACTAATTAACTAAAAACTATCTTTAATTACATAACGTATGTTTTACAGCAATCTGGCTGATAAATTATGAACACATATTTGCCTTTTTTCTATGTTCATTTCACAAAAATAAAAATCAAGATTACCTTCCCTTTTAAAAATAATAATTTTAAATCTGAATAAAGATAATGGTAATTATAAAATGATCACTTTTAATTATTCATGCTATGTTAATTACAGAATTCCATGCTCAGTAGACATCACACATTTTTGAAATATATTTCATGAATAATTTTTTTTTTAATTTTAATTATTGATACACTCAAAATATAATTTCAATATAAATAAATATATCTGCCATTGCTTTTTTAACCTTAAAAGAAAATTATAACAAAATAAATAAAAAAATTCATAAAGTATCAGCAAATACATAATTTCATATAACATTCAAATTTGTTATCTAATATAACTGATAATATACTTCTTTAAGAAGATAAATTTTGAATTTTAACACGGATTTTCCTTATCATTATTTAACAACATATATTTTTACACAAGCTAATATAAAACAACAATAAAATTGATTCAGTTTAATACAGCAAATTTTAATGATACTTAGATTGTGAAATGACTTTTCACTGCATTTCATCAATGTAAAATAACATAATTGATGATAAAGTTTATGCTGTTTATCCTTAAATTCTTAAAAGACAACAGCAAGAGAAACATTCATTTATGTTCAAACCATCAGTTCTTCACTATCTACACTAAACTAGACTTTTCTACATTATTGCATTACTATTATCACAGCATGAAAAACATGAAGAACATCACATTATCACCTGGAACAAACTTTATCATCAATTTCTATGTTATTCAGACAAACCAATAAACACTGTACATTTACAACTACTGACATAAATACAAACAGTTGTAAAGCATGTGCTTCACAATCACATATCATATTTGCAGCTCACAAAGACAACAAATATATTTTACAATCAATAATTTATGATAAAGTAAAAAACTATACTTTCAAGTACCTATTAACTGGCACTGGAATAAAACTTTAATAAAAAAAAAAGCTCTAGGTAGAGGGGAAGCACACTAAGCATATAAAAGCAAGAATTTTGAATTTTTCAGTTTCATAAAGCATTAGAGACAGCTATTAAATAATTTACTTTCAAATGTGTATGTATAATACATACATATATATATATATAAATGTATGTATGAATAACCATATGATACATCTATAGAAGTTATTTTAGGTTACATGATTACTCTCCATTTAACAAAGAATATATTTAACATGAGAAAGTTTATTACACACGTTGTCACTTTACATTTAAAACTATTGAATAGAAAGCAATCCAGGGCTGTTTACAATTTTTACCTACGCCTTGTGTGAAAATTTCTACCAGTATCATGTTTATCAGTTAGTACCCTTCAATACTCAAATGAATAAACATTTACAGGCAGCAGTTTGATAAGTTACTTTAAACTGCAAATATTATACACACACACATAAAAAAAAAAAAAAAAAAAAAAAAAAGGCAGGAATTTATAATAGTATAAGATGAAATATTATCACCTTTCATTACAGTAAGTTTAAAGGTAAACTGCTTTTATTTATCAGTGTATTAAAATCTTTAACTTTGAGAGTAATTATTTTTTGTTGTGAGTTACAAGGATTTTAAAAATGTCAAATTTAAAATTTGCCTTGCAAGTACATTCTTAATAACAAAAAAGCTACTTCACATGGAAAAATGAGAACAAATAACATTGGAACAAGTTTTATTGTGTTAAAAAGTCTATGGGAAACAATTTAATAATGAACTTAGTAACAGACATAGCACCATCTCATATTTTGTAAAAATAAAAAATATAAAAATGCTTGTGAAAAATATTTATTATTCAGTGGTTATTCTTTAAATGTGATGCTAGTTTAAATTCATTCCAATGTTATTAGTCATAATTTATCACAGCATTATTAACAAGGCTTATTTAAATTAGAAATTTTAAAACCCACCACTCACTCAGTTTAAAAGTTCAGATCATAAAGATTACATTACATATATTCAAATTCTTTTAGTTTCTGTTCTGCTACATGTAAATGCAATCTAGATATTAATAACATGGGTAATATATAACATAGAAAGTCTAAAAACATTCACTGAACGTATCTCTCTCATGATCTAAATGCTAAGATTACTGAAATAGACTATTGCATCCAAAGACATATTTGATTACTTTACAAGGTCGATGTATTGGTTAATTTCATGCTGATTAGGTTAATAAAATGTTTAATTCATATAAATAAACCATTACCTAAATTTTTCACTTTAGCAGAATATTTGATGGAGGGAAGTTGATTCTGATTACAATAAATCGGGTATTTTCTCTACATGTAAAAAAATCTCAATGAAAATATGCAAAAATTACCTCATTTTGAATAGCAATAAATAAATACATATATTTAAAAAGAACTCACAAGAAAAAATGTACTTAGTATCATAATTTAAATCAGAAGAGAAAGATATAAAACCATTATTCAAGCAAATTAAACAAAAAATTTACATTTATTTCTATTAGGGGAAAAATCAATAATTTCTGGACTTAATTATATACATATGTTTATGTTAAGCGAAAGTAATGCTAACAAAGACTTTTTGAAGCTTGAAATTCTTATTCCCAAAGATTTTATTTAATTGTAAAATTTCCTTACCATTTCTATTTTTGTGGTTGATAATTATAATTACAATAATAATTTAAAAACCTAAATTTGCTCTAGATCTTTTAAAAGAAAGTTTAACTGCAGTAAAACATAAATTTTAATGATAACTGATGCTTTCTTATTAAATATAGCAATAACTTTCAATTACTGTTTGAATCACAAACATTGTTGATTATAAAATGTACAGTTCTCTTACAGTTTTCCATTCTTTAAATTATATACCTATTAAATAAAAAATGCATAAGAAGAAGTACACCTGATATAAATTTCATTTTATGAGAAAATAAAAGAAACACTATCTTAAAAAATTCCAGCATGAAAGTAACCAATCTATGACACAGGAGTTAAAAACAAACAAATGCAAATATTAATATTAGAGTGGTATTTTTAATAATGGGTGTGACTAAGAATTGAAGGGTAAAACTTAGGACAGATTAGATTACTTTTAATCTTGATAAACACAATGAAAAGAATCATATCACAAAATGGGATGGCTGATGTCAATTATATCATGAACTGATAAGGAAGTCTCAAGGATCAGAGATATATCATTATTCAGCAACCAAAATATGAAATCCCCAACCAATAACCCTATGGCAACTACCGTCAACAACTGTAAAAATTCAGTCAAGAACCAAAACATCTTGACTGATAAATACTAACCACACCTTCACTAGAAAATAAAAAGGAACCTCAAACTGACTTCACACAGTTCATGTTTGCTAACAATGAAATCTGCTTAAAAACAGATTTTGCCCTTTCAAAATAAGGGCAAACCATTATGCCAGGAACTAAAACCAGCAACAATCACTTTCACACACGTGGAAGAACACTGCACACTATCTGACTGTGTAAAAGCCTATACATGTATTTTGTTTCTTATTTCTTTAATGGTTTAAAAATCTTCTCTAAGATGCATATAAGTAGGTAACTAGCATGAACTATCGATGCACTTTGCCACTGCTTGATTTACAGCAAGAATCACTTTGTTCACACCCAAGGCAACTTTTTCAATTTTCCTGAGACACCCTTCCATCGAAGGAACCTTCTTTAACAACATTAGGTTATTACAATTATATAATGGCAAATGCACGTAAACTCATATTGATATATATGTAGGTTCATGCTGGCAGCTTGGTAGATCACGAAACAGAGTTACTGGTATATATTACAAGATACGAATAGATAACAATTATTTGATTATGCATGTTCCAATGCATGTGAAACAAGCCACAACTGTATTGACATTACACTAATTTGAGCATAACTTCATGTTTATGTAATGTGCCAGGCAGGAAACAATTGACGTACTAGATACTGAACTACATCAGAGAAAGTTATAGGCCATAGTTTTTTTTTAGAGAGCACCGTATATTTATTCAGATGTGTATCATTTCTATTTTGTGATACTAAATCTAAAACATAACAGCAAATGTATGTAATCAAAAGATAAACAACTTCTCATGTAAAACTGGCAGTATTATGATCCCATAATCCAGAAGGAAAAGCACCTAAAACATACAATAGCAAGACTGGATGGTTCACACTGAGGAAAAACATAACAAATATTTTGGTCAATAGCAAGTTTCAAATGCAACAAAATGTACTGAAAATTCTATAGAATTATTGAGCTTGCACTTCAGAATAAAGTGCTTTAAAAGTACTTTTTTATGTGTACAAAACAAACATGTTTCAGTCATATAATAGTGCAGAATGCTAATTCACTAAAACTTTCTAAAATGTGAAATATCACCACAATGTTGAGTTACATTTCTTTTTGTCCATGAATAGTATTTTTCATAAAATATCGAATATATACATAAAAACCATTTCTTAAAATAAAGAGCAACATAAATTTTCATGAAAAAATTTACAGATGAAAATAAAACAAGCTCTTAAAACATACAATATTTTCATGTTAAAAAATTAAAGAAATTATTCATCAGTTCCAGTAATCATGGCTGGTGGTGCTAAGATATCATTATCACACTTATTTTTCCATTCAAATACTACATTACTTCTTATCTACTATTAATCAAGAAGTTGAGAGAAATCAGGATTGCCTATGGAATGAAACTGTGAGTCGTGAACATGACCCTGTTTCTCACTATCCTGCTGATGTTGACTAAGGTTATGATGAGCCATTGAACCAGAAGCTAGAAGGGATAATCGAGATAGAGGAGTAGTGTGTTGAGAAATAGTATTGTAAGAGCTCAAACCAGAATGCTGAAAGGTGTCATAGTAACGGGTGCGTTCATGGGACAACCATCGAGAAGCAGATGTAAAAGGGCCTGGCACAGGAGTAGGGGGTGCAGAGTAAAATGGTCGACCTTCAGATTCTGATACACTTGGATGAGATCCACCAGATGAAGCAGATGGTGGTGGGCTTGTCATCCTGTGTTCACTGGCATTGGGCGAGGAATGCACATGTGAACGAGGGAGACTTTCATTATGATGATTTGGAGTAGGTGGGTGGGAATTATGTTGTGGAGGTTTGTTCTGTAACATATGAGCCATGGCCAAATCATCTACAGGTGATGGACTGGATAAATGAGAAGGATGAGGGCTTGGAGAAGGGTTATGATAAGACTGAGATTGGTTATTATTTAAACCAGCAGAAGATGTAACAAGAGGCATTGGAGATGCCATAGGTGACTTACACTCACTATGAGTTTCTTGTGGGTAAGTAAGATTGATGCCTCCCCGGGGAATATCCAGATGCTGATTATGTGCAGCTGCTTTAGATAACAATGCTTTAGGAGTAATAGGAGAATTGATGGGTGATGGAACTGTACCTTGGGAAAGGACAGATGAAGAATGAAAATTAAAAGGGGGTAAATGAGCACTTGTTTGGGGCATACGTCGTACACCCGGATTATTGCCACCTCGGGAATTGTAATTTCTCTTAGAAGGCAACTGTCCAGTGTGACGTTGCATGTGAGTTTTGAGATTGCCTTTTTGAGAAAATGTCTTACCACACATAGTGCATGGAAATCTATCATCTTTATTGTGTGTTCTCATATGTGTCTGCATGTTTCCTTTTTGAGAAAAGCTTTTACCACACACACTACAAGCAAATGGTTTTTCTTTCGTATGAACACTACGAATATGTGTTTTTAAGTTGCCTTTTTGTGTGAATCGTTTCCCACAGGACTCGCAAGCAAAATCTTTTTCTCCAGTATGTATTTTCATGTGAGTGTCAACATTACCTTTCTGAGTAAAGCTTTTGCCACACACTTGGCACGAGTAAGGTTTTTCACCTGTATGAATCATCATATGAGTCTTAAGGTTACCTTTTTGAGTAAACAATTTATGACAAACTGGACAAAGGAACTGTTTGTTTGGAGGTGGTCTTGGGCGTTGTTGGCCTGGAACCATGACTGGAGCACCACCATTTGAAGGCCTTTCAGCATGATTAACAGGAGGAGCTAAAGGTGGGAGACCCATAGACTTCCGGTCTGGGGGAGATCCAATGCTGACCGGTGTGCTAACTGATGGCCTGCTAGAACTACTGGAGGCACCATCTGTCCTAAGAATTGATAAATACTGCTGGCAGGTGTCACATGGATAGGGTTTGTCCTTCGCATCAGGATGGGGGCACTTCGGTATCTGTTCGTTGGAAGGGGACATTTTTTCTATATAACTTGAAGCTGCAGCCAGCTGCGAGATGCCAGTTCCAAAATGTAAAGGATTCTTTTTCAAAAATAAATCAGTTAAGCTGGCTTGGTAGCCAGGGTGCCAACTTTTCTGACCAAGGGAAGATGAAGTCATCCACGGGTAAGTACCGTTCTGCATGGCTGTTTCTAGATATATGAAGAGATGAAGAGATATAACTGGGAATAATGCAATTACACTTCAAGAATATTTATTTGGGCATCTATGTGTAGATGAAAATAATACGGTACTGACACCACTGATAAGCTCAGGCATTGTATCTAAAAGAAAGCATAAAACTTAAATCAATATTAATAGCAGAAGCAATATAACTGAAATCATTTAAATATTTAAATAAATAAATAAATAAAGGGGGTGATACTTGATGTAAAATAATGCTTGCATTTAAAAAATAAAGCAATAAATTATCACAGACAACTAACATTGATGCTAAAAGTTTCATTTAACTGTCTACTTTAACAATCATACTTTATAATATATAAGTCATGCTCCTAAAAATGTGATAATACCCTTGTTTTGAAATCAATGATTTCTCATATGATATCAAAAAAGAAAACAGAAGAAAGAAAAATAGCAATATCCAATACAGTAACTCAGAACTTATGAATAACAAAAACATACAAAAACAAAGTAATTCTCAAATTTAAGAAAACACCATAAAAGTTTAAAAAATTGTATTTGAAGAAAATTGATTTTAAATTAAAATGCCTTCTAAAAGGCAGTCAGAAGTAATTCTCAAATTTAAGAAAACACCATAAAAGTTTAAAAAATTGTATTTGAAGAAAATTGATTTTAAATTAAAATGCCTTCTAAAAGGCAGTCAGAAGTCAGTTATTTACTGCCTGCCAATAAAATTTATGTTAATCTTACTTGAGTAACTGGTGAGTAATAATATGAACAGAATCAAATTTAAATTCTTTTTTACAGCTGAATTAGGAGTGAAAGCAAATGGAATTTTGAATTTAATCAGTACATAATTTTTAAAACTAATATTTAAAGTTTCTTTAAAATAGACATAATTTATAATTCCATAAAACTTAGTGAGGTTTTCAGCTGCACTGAATGAAAACTATTATCACATTCTAAATTGAACCTCTAATAATCTCAGTTCTAAAAACTTTTTAACTGATTTTCAACATTTTAATTTATGATATAATTTAACTGTCTATTGTCACCTTGTGATTTTTCTATCCTGTGCAGCTGCACACAGATGAGTTTTTTTTAAATGTGATTGACATTTTAGAATGAAAAGGCTTTAAAAAATATAAAACTACTTAATAGAAGACAAAAAGTGAAATTTATATATCATTTCCAAAAATTCAGTCAAAATGCTTATTACAGTCAAAAGTCGTTAATTCGGACACCCATAATCCGGACCTCAAAGCTACAAACTTTCTGCGCATGCGTCGCGTTCACGCATGCGCACAGGCGTTTACGAGAGTGCATAAGACCCTTACAGCTGCGAATATGTTTGTGCGCATGCGCGTTTAATGTGTAACGGAGTTATACGCTAAGCTAAAGTTATCTAATTCAGTTAATGTTGCAGATTGCGTTGTTCCTTAATCTTCGAATTGGATCCGGCTTATTTTTTTTTGCAGACTGTTAGAGCAATTTTATAAAATTAAGCTTGAACTTTCGATTATGTCAAATAGAATTTCCGATATATATTACTACAAAGCGAAAGTATTTTTGAAATCCGAAATCTGTTTATCAATTTCACGCTGCTCTGCGGCAGAGGGGGGGGGGCAGAAACGTCATTCTTAGATTATGATAGATTAGAAAGATTATGTCAAATAGAATTTCCGATATATATTTACTAATATGTAATTTGTATCTACAAAGCGAAAGTATGTTTTGAAATCCGAAATCTGTTTATCAATTTCACGCTGCGGATTGGAAGTTGATCTGTCAGCACTATCCTTATCTTCAGAGCAGATGTTTTTATTTATTTGGTTTATAATTCGTACTAAGTGTAGTATTTCATCTCGATATACTCCGTCTTTGATATGATTTAAAATCAAGTTCCTCGTCATTATAATTCGCTTCCGATAGTGAAGAAAGTGACCCAGAGGTTATTGAAAACGAAAACATTTCGATTCACAAATAGTCGGTATTCTCAACACAGCAATTATAGGACTTGAACAGCGGAACTTTGTAACTAAACAAGAATTATGTCTGTTTAATAGAATTAAAGAGAAAGTATTATCACATGAAACGAAGCAACTTACATTGAAGGAATGTTTAATAAAGCAAACAAATAAATATTAAGCTTTTTCTTTTTGTAAATTTTGATACCCTTTAGATCATAATTGTTCTTTATTTCATAAATTACGGTTTCATATTTTTAATTTTGTAATTTCTGCATGCCATCTTACCAGATTTAAACTGATGATCTATAATCCGGAATCGCCGAAGTCCCGACGAGTCCGGATTAACGACTTTTGACTGTATATTTCATTTGTAAGCTCAGACAGTTCAAATGCTAATTTGATCAAATTACAAACTGTCACCATCATTTTAAAAAGAGAAAAACTGCATTTACCTTAATATTTTTAGGAATGTATTACTGAAAATAGTAGATACCTTTTACAAGTTCTTCTAGTTTAAAATAGTTACAGCATTCTTATTATTCACGTCTTTATAAATTCTTTACATTTCAATCTTTTTGAACATTTTTGAGTTTTAATAATATCATGGCTGAAAGGGAACTATTATTAAGCAATGTATTAGCTAAGTTTCAAGTTCATACACTCATTATTAGTGTAAAATGCATGTTGAATACATCTGCAAAGACTACAGTATGAAATTTTGAATTTTTTCTTATCCAATTGCTTTCCTTGCTGATATGAAAACCATGATAACATGAAACCTTTTAAGTTCTATTATTTATATTAAATTTTTGGCACCCAACAATTGTGCACGAACAGTCTTTTTGGGATTTCAAAATGCATGATAGAAGTGGTTGCTAACCCTAAACGACGCAGTATCCATGATGATTTATTCATGTAGAAGAAAATTTATTCCTTTGCACTGAACCTGACAAGATGATTTACATAAACAAGCATATAGATTCAGAATGTTTATAAATGCTTGCTTTTGAAATGCAAGTTAATAGATTAGGATTAAATCATTAAAGACTGCACCAAATATGCGAATAAAACTATTTTTGTTGTTATTATGGCAGACAATTAACAGCTGCTAGAAAAACTATAAGACAAGCTATTTCTAAAATAATAAATGTTTTAGAACCTGAAATTTAAAAAAGACATTTGGGATAAGAATATGGCAGAGGAAAATTTGTTTTTACTTACTTCTAAACAATCTGCATTGAAAGAAATACTAGGTTGTTTTAAATGGGATAAGTCCGAAATAGAAATGGAATGCAATTCTGTGTTAGATTATGATGAAAGAATGAGTTTATGTATTTTTAGAGCTAAAAAGAAACTTATTTAAATTCTCAGATAGTAAACAATACTGAAAACCAATCCACTGGCAACCACACTGCTGCCGTTAAGATCGAAAACAAAACTACATTTGGTTACCTAAAATTTCGATTCCTAAATATTATGGTGATCCTAGTTTATTTTTGGAATTTTATAATTCTTTTGAAAATGCTATTGGTATTAATAATGAGTTAACAAAGGTCGAGAAGTTTACCTATCTGAAATCCTTACTTGCAGTATCTGCTTTAAGTGCAGTATCTGGGTTCTCGCTATCCGATGAGAATTATGACACTATAAGTTTAATCAAAGAAAGATTTGGATGACCAGATTTGGTTATATCTTCGCACATGAACAAACTCTTGAATCTTGAACCTGTTAGAAGTTCATCCAATGTGAAAGCACTACGAACACTTTACGATTCCTGTGAAATCAACATAAGAAGTTTAAATTCTTTGGGTATTGTGTCAGAAGCTTATGGCAGCCTTTTAGGACTGGTTATTTTAAAGCTTTTACCAGATGATATGAATTTGGAGTTTAATAGAAAACAAAACTCTACAGCAGTATAGCTTAACAGAACTTCTCTAATTCATTAGATTGGAAGTTGTGAGTCAGGAAGCTTCTAATTAAATAATAAACTCAAAGGAAAGAGAGACAAATTATGGTGTTAAGCCGAATAAAAATAATTACTTAAAAGGGGCAAGCATTCCCAATGCTTCAGGGTTAGTTACAATGACTAAGCCATACTGTTTTTATTGTAATCAAAATACACATTATACAGGAAAATGTGAGAAAACAAATGAGCAAAAAAGAACACTGTTAAAAAACCAGGGGCGCTGTTACAGATGTTTTAAGAAAGGACATGTATCATCTAGATGTAAAGTGAAACTTCAACCTTGCAAGTTGTGTAATGGTTAAATCATAGTAAGTTATTTTGTAAAAACATTTTTCTTGAAACAGAAACACTTTCAGATATTAAACAGAAAGTAGTTGCAGTATCAGATTCTAAGCAGAATGTAGTTGCATCCATGTCATTTAACTTTTAAGACTGTTTCTGAAACTGCTGATAAAGGTGTATACTGTGAAAATCGTTTAACACGAAACCGAGGGGATTGAAATATTTTGTCGTGTTAAAGGATATTGAGGAAAAAAACATACATTCAACAAAATTAAGTTTATTAGAGTACATTTTATTTACATAGATATGTATATATGCACGTATTTAATCAAAATCAATGAAACAAAAACATCCACAAGAACTTAATAAAATTTAATACAAAATTTTTAAGTTTTTAGAAAAACAAAACATTAATTGAGTTTTTGGAAAATAATTTGATATTTTTCTTTGCATTGCCTTTTTTAGCATAAAATTTTTAACAAATTGTTCAATGTCATCCAATTTGTTATTCATTTCATGATTAGAATGTCCATCTAAATAACTGCATATACTTTTTATGATGTTCCTCATTTTGGATGACGTGGGAACAGGATTATTCATTTCATTTTCATCGTCGGAATCTGCATTAATATTTTTTAGCTTTGAACAAACTCCAAAATTTCTTTGTCTGCCATAATTGGGGCTGTATACACATTATCATCAAATACTGCTGCGAATTCTTCCAATAATACAGTAGGACAGTCCACTAATACAGAAATTTTCTCAAACATTTGATTAAGTGTCAACTTGGTTTCAACATTCTTCTTCTCCATTTCTGGCTAAAGAATCTGATATTTTTGAGAATCGTACATGGCAAAAACAATTTTCATTCGTCCTTGGAGTCACTGAATTCCATGCAGAGTGCAAGATAAGAAGAGAGAGA